ACACAACGTCTTTCATGTATCTATGTTACAAAAGTACATTGCCGATCCATCACATGTCATCAACTGGGAAGAAATCAGTCTCAACAAAGGATGTTACCTTTGAAAAAGGACCTATAGCAATACAAGATAGTCAAGAGAAGAATCTTAGGGCAAGACAGTTCATCTAGTAAAGGTGCTTTGGTGACATCGTGAAATTGAAGAATCAACCTGGGAACGTGAAGACGCGATGCAAACAAGCTATCCCCAACTTTTTGAGCCTAGTGTATGATTGTAATTTCGAGGAAAAAATTGTTTAAGGGGGATAGGTTGTGAGGCCTTAACTTTTTGTAATTTCCCCAAACTCTTATAGTTGAAGAATTTCAATAAGAAACCCTGTTTCTCCATTTCTTGCAAATTAAGTCCTAAAAATCAAGAACAACTGCACAAGCTAACCGGCAAACCCTAATCAACTTTGAGAACTTAGGAAACATTTTAAAACCCTAAATTAATAATTTAGAAACCCTAGAATGAAAATTTATAAGAGAAAACCCTAGTTTCCGGTAATCGCCGTTTTAGCTCGGTATCTCGCCTTTTGTTGCGAATCGGCATCACGTGACTCGAATTACTTTTCCTATCATTATTTTATTAAATATATGACTTAAATATATGTTTTACTTCAAAATTTCAAATTTGTACCCTCTTCTTTCCTTATTATTGCATTTTGGCCCCCAAAACCCCAATATTTTAATCAGATAAGGTACAATTATTATTATATTGATTTGTACATTATATCTACTATATTATAATAATAATAATAATTGATTTCCCACATGTGTAGAAGACCAGCCAACTGTGAATAGTAGTAAGGACAAGAAAAATTAATTTTTTATTTATAATATCTTGAATATTATATTGGCATATCTTTGAATAAACAAAAGGAAATGACAAGCATTTATTGCTATGTACTTGTGTCTCCCAAATAGCAACTAAGTAGGGTTACTTTTTTCTAATCAAGATTAATTAACACAAATCCTAATTGGATTCAATTAGATTACAACCAAACTTGAATAGTTTCCATTAAAACTAACCTAACCAAACCAAACCAACCCTTCTCTCTCCTCCTTGGCCTATAAATATAAGGCTCTAGCAACTCATATTCCTCACACTTCACACACATAGCAACCTGCTGAAGAGGAAAAGAGAGAGAGAGAGCTAGTAAGTTTGAGAGAAAGAGAGAGAAAAAAAAGAAAGAACGAAAGTAAGATGAAATTATAAGCAATTAAGGTAAATTTCATACACCTCTTCTCTCCATGAATCGTCATGTTTTTCCCCTTCATAATACATGCTAAAAATCTATTTCATATGATACTAAGAGTTACTACTTTGCTAGATGATGTATGGTTTGAAAATGAAATGTTCTTCTTCTTCTTCCTTGTAATTTCTAGCAAGCTTTTCTCAAGGTTTTTGATTTTATTTCCATAGAAAACCTTCACGAACTCAAAATCTATTTTAAAGGGGTATTAATTGACATATATAGAGTATGTGAGAATTTTGGCTAAGACCATGGATGTGTTTTTATGACTCTTTTAAATTTTCTAAATACTTGGTGCAAAGAACCTATTTAAAATAGAGAACTTTAGAAAATTCTATAAAATTATAGAAAAATGATCTCACCTTCATTTTTATATCAAAATCTTCCTTTGAAGGTTAGCTTTCAAACAAAATTTATTTCAATGAAAATGAATGAGTATTTTAAGAGAAATACCAAATTTTGTAACAGTTGTCAAATCTGGACTAAGTTTGTGTATTTCTTAAATATTTAAAAATCAAAAAGGGCCACCCTACTTCTATGAAATGATTCTGAAACTAGACTTGATTCTCTACAAATCCTCAAGAAGCCACGTTCCTGAAACCCTTAAAAATATCTTTTCTATATTTATTTTTGAACCGGTGCAGCGTTGGAAATCTGAACAATGTGGTTCTTGTTGTAGTTAATGCTTTTGTGCTATCACGACATAATTGTTATAATATATGTTATACTTACATGCTTAAGTTTCACTTCGAATGGCCTTATTATGCTCATACTTGTGCTAATCACTAATGTGTATTGAACTTAATGTAAAAGAGAAAAACTCAATGGGTTGGTAAAAAGGGATGATGACCACACTAGTTATATATAATAAATGATGAGAATGTCAAGTTGATATTAGTAGTGGATTAAAATGAGCAAGTCTTGCATAAGTGGCTGTTTCATAACCCTTGAATGGAGCGGTTGTATTCGGACCCTAGGTAGTTCAGTGTAAGGAGGAATTTAGGCAAGGCCCATCAGTATCGTCTCTTTTGAGGCCTTGAGGGTGGTGCTACGGGGTATATAACCATTGGTAGGCATCCAAGGTAAGGTCAGCAACAAAGTAGCAAAAGAGAGGGCATACCGAATAATCCGCGTCCAATTCTTGGAGTTGGGAGGACGAAATCTCTTTGGGGGATTTCTAGACTACTAACAACTAACCATATAATCTGTTCTATGAACTTAAATGCCATGACCCCTTTCCTCTGTTTTTTGTAAATGCTGTTGCGTATTGGACTGGGAAAAAGGGATGGGGTGTGTGCGCATTTACGGGGCATTCAAAACTCACGGCGTATCATGCCATGTGCCGAAGAGGAGCTTAGAGCAGGAGACGACGAGCCGGAAACCTTCGAAGACATTTGGCTATCTTAGAAAAGTTAGAAATTTTCCTTTTTGATGTTTTGAAAAGTTCATATGAATTTTTAAATTTTCTTTTGGGTTGTAATGTTGATGGAACGAGCTTTTATAATTAAGGATATTTGTAATTATTCTATTATTATGTACTTATATTCTAACACTAATATAATTCCTGACGTTGCTTATGAGACCTTGTGTCAATGTCTCTTAATATCTGTCAAAAGGGTAGTGCGCTACCTAAGAAAGCTGGACTTATAAAAGAGGCTAATTTGACTCCTCCGACGATTTGAAATTTTATTTGGTTATTGGCCATAGGACTCATTAGTGACTTTCCCTTGACTACAACCTTTAGTGTAGATTTGGGGTGTCACACTAGTAGTATTTCTTGAAAAACCTTGATATTGAGGTCCCAAACCTCCGTGAATTATTTTTAAAAATCTGGGACATTCACTAATAGTAAAATGTTGCTATTGTTTAATAATATAATTAACTACAAAATCTTGTGTACATATAAGATCATACCAGTTGATTAACCCCTAATTGTATTTGAGTTCTAATATCAGGTTGTTGACTTTGTAAATGTTTTTTAGCATGCCTTTTTAGATGGCTAGTACCCCCGCTGATGCAACACTACGTAAAAATTTACAATATTTACATTTTGCTTTAAACACAGTTATACCATCATGATTAGTTACAGATATTCCTTCAAAATGCTCCCAAACAGTACTAGACATGCCCCTAGATGATGATGCTACTGGTTGGAAGAGGGATATTAGGTACAGTAAAAAGAGAATCAACATATTCATATTGTGTATATTGATTAATATCGACATAAACATTGAGAAAATCAGAATTATAGTAATTTAAGTAAAATAATATATATTAACTAACAATTAATTAAAATAAAGAGTAAATAATAAATGTAAATAACAACAAGTAATATATGTTAATAAACAATTAATGTAACAAAAAATGAGTAGCTAATATATATTAATTGAAACAGTTAGTGTTACCGACTGACGAATGTGATACAAAAATTAACTTTTTCTAGTAAAAGTTTCTTCTTGTACAACTACAATTACCACTTAAAAATGAGAATTGAAAATTAAATGAGAGAGTTGAGAGTTGAGAGAGAATGAGAGTTTGAGAGAGAGATTTGGTTGTGATTGTGTTTGTGTTTGTGTTTGTGAGAAATAAAATGGGAGAGGGGTGGTATTTATAAAAGTTAGGATATGGGTCAAATCAAAAATAAAAAAATAAAATGAGTAATGTTAGGGATTCCAAATGTTTTACTAATATATTTATTAAATGTCTCACATGAGTGTGATATTCATATAAGACCCACATAGTGTAGGTCTCACATTTATGTGAGATATTTAGTAAAAATATTAACAAAATATTTGAAATCCTTAACATTTTTCAAAAACAATTTGTCTGTTGTTGTATCAACAATCAAATGGCTTTTTTTTTCAAAAAAAAGAAATTTGAATGGGTTCGGCCAAGAAGGAATTTTTTTTTTTGAGTCTAACGGGATAGGCCTCGCAGACTGAGCTCACAGGCCGAATCGAGCCTCAAAACAGACGGCTTAGATCTAAGGTCTCGAGCCAAGCCACATTGGGCTGCAGGCGAATTTCAGATGGATCGCAAATCAATGGGGCTGAATTTACGCTTCTACTCTTTTTCCTACTTGGATGTGGGTCCATGGGTGTCTCTCTTTGAATAATATTAGGGATCATGAAAAAAATATCATGAAATGCTTCATGAAGATTTTTTATGATTTGATTAGTGTGTGGTGTTTTCTCATATGTATAATCTAACGGTGGAGAATCTTTCATGATCATTTTTATGATATTTTTTTCATGATACCTAACATTACTCTCACTCTTTAGAGAAAACTTCCATACGATCTCCACAGGGGTGATTAGTGAATCGTCTGATCCGACCTGAATAAATGATTTTGGGCGGACAAATGTGGATGTAACACTGAGGTCTCGTTTGGGAACATGTTAATTTAGTAAGTTTTTGGCTATTTGGTTAAAATATGAACTAAAAAAAATTAGTATGTTTGGGATGATTTTTTGACTTTTTACGACAAAATATGTAAAAAGTAAAGAGAAAAAAGAATCTTTAACTTTTTAATATGAATTATTAATTTTTTGACTAATTTAATAATTTTTTAATTTTTTAACTAAAATGGAGGATTTGCATAGGAGGCTTGAGTTTTGCGGATGCGGGTCAAGGGCGGATCGCCCACCTCTGATCCTCACCAACCCGCCCTGCCCGTACTAAATTAAATTATTATTTTTTTTATTCCAGCCTTGGAAGTTTGTTCGCAGCAGCCCCAAACAAAAAGAACTTTGCAAACCCCTCTCCCTCTCCCAATCTCAATCTCAATCTCAAATCCCTAATCCCTACTACACAAAGCTTCATCATCTCCTCCATCAGTCGACGATCGAGGAGCAGCAACGGGCGACAGTCGACGGCGAGCTGCGAGCGACGGTAATTTTTCCCGTCTTCTCTTCTTCTTCTCCCATTCTCCTCTTTTGTATGTTTCAAATATACAATTTCAGAAACTAATTTCTAAATCTATTTTTGTTGATTTTCAGATCTAATTCTTATCATTGATTTGGAGTTTTTTTTTTGTGTGCAAAAGAAGGTAATATTTATTGAATTGTTCCATTTAAGATATATTGTGTTGAATTTTTGGTATTCAGGATTGTTTGTTTATTAAGTCAGATTAAATTTTATTAGACTTAAGATTTGGGGGAATTTCTGTTTTGGGGGACATCCTGTGGTTTAAATTGCTAAGAGGTATTGGCAGGATGATCCCTTGTGCTGCTTCTGCTGCTGCTGTTGTTTTTTTGTTTGGTTTTTGGTTTTTTTGTGTTTGTGGTGTATTAAAATATAGGGCTTCATTTTTATTATTTTAAAAAAAATGAAGCATAACAAATTTTGGGCCTAAATAAGGCCTAAAAACTAGTGAATTATGAGTTGAAAAAATGTTGAAAATATAGAATGTCTAAACTGCCAAACCGATTGCATCGATTCGCCAATCCCCATCCGCCAACTAAGCGGACAGATGCGGATTGATTTTTTTCAATCTGCCTATTTTTGGGCAGATGGCGGACGGGATGCCAGCCGACCCAACCCGAACTGCGAGCACCCTCCACACCCAAAAATGAACACCACCATGTACAAAAAGGAAGGAAAGTTCCTAGCGCTCTGTATCTCTTGTCTTCTACACAAAATGGGTCGTGTAGTGATTTCACTCGTTCCGTACCTTCAAATATCGATCAAAACCCTGAAAGAAGATTGATGATCTGACATCGAAACTTCCATTATCTCAATCACAATCAGGTAAAAGAGCAACATGATAAATTTAGCTTCTTCTTCTTCCTTTTTTTTTTCCTTCTTAAGATTCAGATTTAGTGTTATTCGGTTGATGTGCGCTTGTGTTGCAGCAAATTGGATGATTATGGTTTTAGTTAGTAATTTGAGGGTTTGATTTCGGTCTACGTGTCGTTAATTAGAAAATGTGAATTGGGTTTCTTGACATGTTAGGGTTTGAGTATTATGACAGCAATCTTGATTTGGGGTTCGTATTTTATGGGTAGAGCTTAAATTGTTTTTTTGAACTCAACCGGAGACACTACCGGCCATCTATTAAGCGCTCTTGAGTCTGATCATAATACAAAATGATTTGGATTTGAGGGACTCAAATTATTGGTGGGGGGTAGTTGTTATTATCGTTTTGTTTGGACCCGAGTGGCTTTTAAGGTTATAATTTTATGTTGATTAGTGTTTTTTTTCTTTTCAAAAACAAATTGGTTGAGCTGATTTCAGAATAACCACCACATCCACACGACCACAAGAGATTTCCCTGGCTGGGGATTTGAGTTAGGTGTAGTAGGTTAGTGTGATCATTGTGTTGGGACTTTAGTTGTTTTAACTTGATTTGCTTTGATGATGATTTATGAATGAATATGGTGAAGCTTGTCCCAACTGAGTAATAAAATTCCCAGGTTAAATTTCTGAGGAACCCTTACTATTTTGTTATTTTGGTTTCCTGGAAAATGAGAAATTTGACTCACCCAACCCCAACATAGCTTCCTGGCTAATATATAAGTTGAAACCTCAGTCTCTTAAGATTTAAAAATAGCAAATATTTTTCCGGAAATTGACCATATCAACTTTAATCATTGTTGTCACTTTTATCACGCATAATATCCTATTTCATGCTTTTGAGTTGTCTGCAATTCTAATTTGAATTTTGTGAATGCTGCCTATACACAATTTGCTGACCTGAGTTCTTGTCAGATTTCTTCTTGACTTCTTTTAAAAAAAAATATATATGAGGATGCTGTTTATTCACATTCCAATGATCAGACCTGTTCCATTTCATTCTCTAAATAGCTTGTGAGCTTGCTTGTCAAGCAGTGGATTCTTGTAAACAGCTAGAAAAATACTTGGCTCTTTGCCAATGGAGAAAGGAAAAGCTTCTAGCCTATTTGTTAATGATGGTTCATTCATGGAGAAATTCAAACAGCTCGAACAAGAGAAGGGTCCTGCATTAGGGGAGTCTAAACCGGGCCAAACTGTATCAGGGACTTCAATTCCTAAGCCTATCGTTAGTAAAACCAGCTTTGAATCTAAGGCTAATGATTTTCGCAAAACCACCCCAGTTGCTTCAAGTGGCAAACTTGCATTCAGCTTGAAACAGAAGTCAAAGCTTGTGGCACCCTCTGTTAAGTTAAGTGAAGATGAGGATGAAGAAGAAAGTGTTGCTGGAAATGCATTGGGTAATGAGCCAGCAAAACGGCAGAAGTTGGGTCAGCCTGATGACTCTGAGCAATCATCTAAACAAGTTGATGTTGGTAATTACTTCTTGTACAAGTATTTACTTATTTGGTTGAATTGGGATTGAAGTTTTGGTTGGATCTTGTGATTATTTCTCTTTCTGAATGTCAAGCAAGGCGTAAGAGGCCCAAATTGTGCATATATCTTAGTTAATTAAATGTCTTTCCACTTCTTATTATAACATATGTTTCTGGTTTGCCTTATTACCTCGTGCACATGCAAGCTGAAGTAATTTCTGTTGCACACATGTGGAAGTACATGGTAGATAAACTGATCTTTTTCTTGCCTTTTCTAGTCAAAGTTAGATATGCATGCAATGGCTATTATAATTTAGATGTTATACCACTTTTCTTATGTTGTATAGTGTCCTTACTTAATTTCACAATGGTGTAATGCATGACAAAGTTGGATTTACCATTTTTATATATGATTTAGGTTAATTAGATGATAACTGTTGTTGGGTAATAGCATATTTTTTCTAATTTGCTACATGATACAAGTTTGGATGGAAGGATGTTGCCTTGCATTATCTGCCCCGTTCTTGGCATTTTTCAACCCATTACCATGTTTTCTTGAGCTGATTATTAGCTCAAATTTGCAAGGAATTCATGTTATGTTAAAGACCTCTAAATCAGTATGGGGTCTAGTGGTGGTTGTCTTCTTTGTGTGTGTGTTTTTTTTTCCCTCTTAAGACATACACGGGCTCTAGTCACTTTTCAAATTTTTTTGGACCGTCTTCTTTACTTTGCTTGATTAGTCTTGGTTTTAAACCACCTGTCATCCATGCACTGTTCACTGTTAACACCTTTCTTTGACCTATCATCATTTTGTACTAGTTTTGATGGTCTAAGGAAACCCCTTGAGAATTCTTTTCACTCTTCAGTATTATGTAAAACCAAGATTTGTCCCCCCTCATTAGTGCACTGATTTTGCGGAAATTATCTCGGGGTGCCGCTTCTCTACTCTTCAATTGGTGGATGAAGAGGACAAAACATTCTTGAATTGTTCTTGTCTCATGAATGCAGCTTATAACTTAAGTCATTATCAACATTGGTGGAAAGAGATGTTCAATGAAAGATTTGGAAAATGTGGACGCCTGCTACAAGAGTAATTTTCATTCCCTTGTTCATGCTCTTGGTATTAATCAGTTCTTTAAGTGACATGCAGCACCACCTCCCCCGAGCGACCCTACAGTGAAGAAAGTTGCTGACAAGTTAGCAAGTTTTGTGGCAAAAACTGGAAGGCAGTTTGAGCATATTACACGGAAAAAGAATCCTGGAGATACTCCTTTTAAGTATGTACCCTCTTAAATGTCAATATTTTGTCAGTGCTATATATCCTTAGAACCTTAGTTGCATGACCTTTTTTTGTGCATTTGTTTTGTTTTTAGTTTATAATTATTTGTAATTGTATGATTAATGGGGGAGTCTTCTGTTGTTTGTAACTTTATAATTACTTCGGGCTAATAATGTTATTGTGATAGATGTGCACATCAAAGCTTTTGTTGGGAGAGTATCCCATTATCTGTATTTGTATGGTTAATTAGGGTGTTAGAGATCTCTGTTGGTCTTTTCATGTTAATATGTTTTGCTGTTTGTAATATCCACTAGTCCACATGATAATTTGAAAGTATCCAATTATTGTGTGTTTTAAACTCATTGAAATCTCTATGAAATTAAATTGATAAATTGAGTTTCACTATATTATTGTATCTTATTAATTGAAATTTAGGCTACAAATTGTATATGGGAGTGATTTCTATTGTAAAGTACATTAGGATACTGTTGAAATCGTGCTTGTTGATTCTGCTGGTTGTATCCCCTAATTGGAGTCACCATAGTGATGGTTCTCTGATTCATTTTTACAATGCTGTTACAATGCAGAAGAACATATGCCTCTGGTTTGCAAGTGGTGTATCTTTGTGCATGTGTGCCTTTCTTTCTCACTACAAATGAGCTGATTGTGATGCTGTTCAATTATTGAATTTTCCTTGAATCCATGTGAAAAATTAATAAATTATCAGTTGATGATCTTTCTTTCTTTTTTTTTTCTTTTCTTTTTTTTGTTTAAAATCTTTAAAGCTCTTATAGTTATTTCCGTTTCTTTTCCCTTACTTCATAATCTTAGCCATTGAAATTTTGTTTCGATGCTTCTTTTTATACTTGTTTCTAAACTCCTCCACGAACACAACAAAGGCAGTAAACAGGTTTCTTGGCTTTTTTTCTCAACATTGGAATGAATCTCCTTGTCCCGCTCAAGTTTCTTAGCAAGTCTTCTTTATTATCCCCCTTTCGTCAGAATCCCCCAATAACATCATAGCTTTCTTGTCATTAACTTTGAAGAGATCATTCCTGACATCTCCCTTTTCATCATCACATGGAGGAATCACAGCCAAAGGAAAAAGCAATTGCATCTCAGAATTATCATCATTTTGTACCATTCCCCCTTCAGTCCTTCTTCAATTTCATCCAGATTTGACCTATAACCCACATCTGCTTCACTCTTGATCCCTTCTAGACCAGCCTCTTCCAAATAAAGACCATTTGGATCCATCATGTTCATTGGATTATAGACCAGAGGCTCTTTGGCATTGCAAACCCAACTCCATAGGATGCAAGCGATTCTTCTGTGTCCTTCTCCGAACCAACGACTAGCAGCCATAGAAGACCCTCCTTTTAGCTCCCCCTTCACTTGGTTCAATGAAGGTAAGCCCTCCCTATCTATCTTCTATTTTCTAACAACTAAAGCCATCTGATTTCCAATCCCAGAACCAACACCCAAAGCATGCTTTGTGATACCACCAAAATCTCCTCCCATCATTCTCCATTTTTACAAAACCCTCCTCCTCACCATGGTAGAAGAAGGTGGCCCTCGGTTCAACATAAGAGAAGAAGTGCTGGATTGAGGCCAAAAAAAATGAGAACAAGGAAGGGAAAGAGGTTAAACATCACCTCGTCTATTGGGCTTAGAAGAATTGGGCTGCCCTTATTTCCCTTTGTCATCAAAAGAGGCCTTATCAAAGAAGCACTAATACAGATACAAACACAAGACATAACAATTAAAAAAAAAATTAGGACATGGACACGGCAGTAATATGATAACAAAATATATTTTTTACATATTTTTGTTAACTATGTATAGGAATATAAATTTAGAATACATAGATATGATGGCGGTGTCGGCTACGGGTGTGGGCCTTAGTGCCTTTTTGTTTGATGTGGTTGGTTTGGTTGGAAAGAAATAGGAGAATTTCCAAGAAATTGAGCATTCGGTGGTGTGGTTGGAGGATCGGTTTTTAGTTACCTTGTATAGTTGGTTGGAGTGTAAAGTTGAGCCGGATCTGTTTTTCTTTCTTAGATTTTTTGGATGATGTAATTGGTTAGGCGAGCTTTCTTTCTTTCTCTTGGTCATTTTGTATTAGTTGCATCTTCTTGATGCTTTTCAATAAAACTCATTATTTATCCAAAAAGAAAAAGGAAAAAGAACACATAAATATGAAAGGCATCGATATATACACATGGTTATCAATATCGTGATCCAGATCGTAGGTTCATACGATCCTAAATTGTCAAAACGTTCCAAATCGTTGTAGGATTTGTGTTATAGTAGGATCGCAGGTAGGATCGTATAGACTTGCAGTAGGATCATAGGTAGGACCATAAGTAGGATCGTTTGATTTATGATTTTCCACCTTATTTTTAATATGTATCATTCTAATTTGTATTTTTAATAGAAAGTAGAATCTTGCGATCCTCGATTTGATCCACGAGCCCCTCTCACTGATATCCTATGTAGGATCCCAATTTTAACAACCTTGTATATCCATGGTTGTTCTATTATTTTATTTTTTTTTCTATTTTTGCCCTCTTTATTTTCATATATTTTAACTTTGACCCCAAATCAACTTTCTAAAATTAAAAAAATTTTGGTCCTTAGGCATGTCCAAACATAGGACACATGTGTCCATGAAGTGTCACCGTGTCTTGCAAAAAACCAAAAAAAAAAAAATTGACACATGGACACGAGTGTCCCCTTCGTGTCAGTGTCCTTACTATGTTAGACACGGACATGCCACCCATCTTTGGGGTGTTTGTGCTTCTTAGGGCCTTATTAACTTGTCACAGTCCCAAGTCTGTTCCCTTTGAACGGGCCCAAATTTTCCCACCTACTTTTGTGTTGCACTCCTCATCCATCTTATAAACCCTATAAGTAGGCCCCCCCATTTCACCCAATTTCTTAGCATGTCCATCCACATTCCCTACCAGCCCACCTGCTGACTAGGCCTTCTATCATCATCCACCATAGCCCCCTAGAAACCACATGTGAACCCTTAAGGGGCCTAACCCAAGATTGTCACAAATTTGACCTGAATCATGAACCAACCCTAAATAAGACGTAGCTTTTCAAAATATTTAATTGGAAAAACCTTTATGCCATAGCCGTGACCTGTTTGATTACATGAGAACATGGATTTCAATGAAGTAGTGGAATTTGAAATTTATTTTTGAAGTGAAAATTAGGGCATCAAATTAGGAAATTGCATTCTTTTTTCTGAAGACTTGAGAAATCTCACGTGAGAAACATTTCAGACTCTACATTTGTACGGTGGACTTGATACGATGACTACGTAGTTTTTGATATTCTGAGGCTAGTTCTAGTTGATTTTCCCTAACGCTACAAAACTCGCTTTCTTTATCATTTCATATCATCCCCTTTCTTGGTTTATGATGTAATTATAAGTCATGTTATGGCCATTAAAAAGGAAAAAAAAATGATGAGATAGCTCATTTATTAACCATTTTTAATGAGTTTCTATCAGTTTGTTTTGACTTTGCTTCAGATTTTGACATGGACATTATTGTGCTTCTTGTACGCTTGGTGTTTAACGATTTTATCTTATTTCAGATTCTAATAAAATTTTAACTTTCAGGTTTCTATTTGATGAAAACTGTGCTGATTACAAATATTATTATTACCGGCTTAGTGAAGAGGAAAAGGCTCTGTTACGGGCCAGGGATTCCCAAACATCACAAAGTGGTTGGTACACAAATTTTTATATTTTATTCACTATATACATGTTGTTGGGCATCACTTATCCATGGAACTTGGGAATATTGGTTTGTGCAATTTGGTGGAAGGACTGGAAGCAACTTTGGTACTGCAAATGGTTCCTATTAATATGGGCTGAAATTTTTAGCTGTGGTCTTGTTAGAATGTAGATGCACTAGGCTAGACTAGGATTTTCTTCGATCTGCTGCATTTTGATAATTTTTTTTATGGACTAGAATCTTAGTTTGGAAAATCAGTAACAGGTTGATTATAATTTTCTTCTCGAACCTGGTGCATCACTTGGATTCTGTACTTAGGCTCACTCATTCTTATCGTTTTTCATTTTGTTTTATGCATAACCTTTTTGATTTTCCATTGTTATAGTACATGTTGATCACGGGCACTTTGTCTCTGTAGGTGGCATAAGCACTGCAGCTCTTAGTCCGACAAGTGGGCCTCAGAGGTCACTTCAGCAGCATTCGAATTATCAAACTCCTGCTTCAGCTTTATATGAAGCTATTGAGGATACAAGAGCTTCTATGACATCAGTTCAAACTACATCAGCAGGACGATCTGGTTATGGTACTCCCTTTTTCTTTCCTGTTGTTGTTCATCTTCATTTTTCTTTTGAAGTTTTGAATTTGATGGATTGGGTGCTGTTCAGTTACACTCAGTTTCAGCAATCTTGACTGGCCTTGATAGCAGTCAAGATGTGATGACACTCATAATGCTTTTGAAGCTTAGTTTTCTGTCAAATTATTTTGGGTTTGAAAAATGCTCTTTTGTCCTGGTGTTTGGCCTTTTGCCGTAGATTTGAAGATCATTTATATCTGGTTTGTATTTACATCCGATAGATGACATGTAAGGGGTGTTTGATAATCGAATTCAATAATTAATACTAAATTTATTTAGTGAAAATAAATTAAGTGTATTTGATAACCACAACTAATATTACTAAAATGTTGAGAGGTATCTTAAAAACAGATTAAAATTTTAAGTAATATATGTTCAATGCTAAGGGGTTGTTTGAGATGTTCTAAATAAGTATACTTTTTTACTTTTTATGAAATATGGGTTGAGTTTGAAGTGATGTGTTAGAGAGGTGATGTGATTTAAATAAGATGATGTGACTTAAATAGGATAGTAATTTTTTGACTTTTTGGCTTTTTTATGAGATGCCAAACCTAGCCTAAATTTTCAACCAGTTATACTTGTGTCTCTGTTGAGGTACCGTAATCACCCTCCACTACCATCACTATTATCACCACCACCATCAACATTGCTACCAGCTCACTTTCACTGTCACTATTGCTATCACTATTGCTACCACTACCTCACCACCACCACACAATCACAAGTACTGCTACCGCTACCGCTACCGCAACCACCATCTCCGTCACCACTACAACACCACCTCTGTTGTCACCACCGTTGCCCTATTGTTACGACCGTTACCTCTTCCCTACCTCCACCATGTTGTTGCCAACTTGCCACCACTATCCCATCTCCACTCAACCACCGCCATTGCTACTGCTAGCACTCCACTTCCACCACCACTCGCTTCTCCCACCGCCCCTACCACTACCATTCTCACCATCTTGCAACCACCATTATTATCGACAACCCCACCACAACCACAATCACAACCATCATCAATACTACCACAATTGCCGCTGCCGCCGCCACCACCGCCGCCACCACCACCAATGTCATCATCACCTCCGTCCTTCCAACCCAGTGTTTAAAAAGCTTTAGGAGCATCGGGACGCCAAGGTCACCTGGAGCCTAAGCGTCGAGGCGTTCCACCTCACCAAAGCGAGGTGCAAGTTATAAAAGTTAAACAAAATATCAATATAGCACAATTTTCACCATAAACAAATATTTATAGAATTCCAAAATGAACAAAACAATATTCGACATTCCAAAAACTGTGAAAGTAACATCAAATAACAAACATAACAACTTAATAATACACAAAGTTGAAAACTACTAAACATCTAGTGACTAGTCTCATGGATGCATTATCCAAGAACTTAATAAGAAGCGTCATCTCCATCATCTTCTTCATCATCATTGGATTTATATCCCTCCACATCCTCCTCTTCTTCCTCATCTGAATCTACATCTTCCCATTCCTCTTCTTCATCTACAAGTCGACGTGAGCTTGAACCAATTGGAGTTGTCCTAGTTGTGGTTGGTCTAGTTCTTTGGCTACTTTCGTCAACTCCAGCAGCTCCAGCAACATCATTCCACCCCAAAGAATCATCATCATCATCATCAAACACAAGCTCATTCTCCATTCTCCCAATCAGCCATTTATTGCTTTCATCAATATCTTTCAAAGAGATGGGATCAAATTTGCCACGTGAAATGTATCGACATTTCAATGCTCTATTATACTTGATAAACACCAAATCATTGAGACGTTTTTGAGCTAGCCTATTTCTTTTTTTACTGTGAAGCTGCAACAATAAATAAAAAACATTTAAATTCATATATAACTAAAAAAAATTTGGAAGAAAATTTTAGAGTTTCCCAAATTTGACAACGGATACTCACATGTTCAAACACACTCCAATTCTTCTCGCAACCAGATGAACTACAAGTAAGATTAAGAACTTTGATGGCAAATTGCTGCAACTCAGGAGCATCATGACCATAAGAACTCCACCAATCAGCTGTAAATGATTATTACTTAACACTTCACAAATAATTAAACTATAAGGAATTGACTACTAACTTAATTTTGTGGATGAACATAGATCATCTGGTACCCTTGTAGTTCTTTGTCTAATTGCCATAGGTATTCTAAAAAGTCCTTTAGCATTTTCATATTGTTTTAAGTCTGTAGTAACTTTATCTTAGACCTCTAGTGCTGGGATCAACCTTGATATACATTGATATAGGCCTGATACGATTTCTTTGTCCTTTGCAGCCCTTGGATCTTTGTAAAAAAATTCTGGATTTAAATAAAACCCAGTTGCATGTAAAGGGCTATGCAATTGAACATTCCACCTTTGTTCAATGATTTGAAACACATCTTTGTACTTCTCTTCATTTCCACTGAAGCTATTTGCAATAGCTTCCTTAGCCCTATCCATAGCCTCGTAAATGTAACCCATTGGAGGCTTTCCTTCACCATCAACCTTTCTTAGTACACGAACAATAGGACATGAAAATTGGAGGGCAAGGTGACAATGGTTCCAAAATGAAGGCATTAGTAGTATTTGAGCTGTCTTCTTACCTTGTGGCTCCTTCGTCCATTTGCTTTTGATCCACTCCTCTGAAGTGAACATCTTTTTCAAATTGTTCCTTTGTTGACAAACCCTTTGTAAAGTTGAGAAAGCCGTTGCAAATCTAGTTTTGGCAGGCTTAACTAACTCCTTCAATTGAGTAAAACGCCTCATCATATTCAACAAAGATGGTCGGTTATAAATGTAATCATGTATCCCAATTGCCCTTTCAAAGGTCTTCTTAAAATAGGGTAATTTGAAGATATCTTCCAACATCAAATCCAAACAATGGGTTGCACAAGGCGTCTAATACAAGTGGGGTCTCTTTGCTTCCAAAAGTTTCCCTATTAGAAGTAACAACCAAAACACAAAATTAATGATATGAAACAAAATGATTTATGTTGCAAACTAATAACATAATAAGTTTTTCTAAAGATTTTTACCTGCCAAGACATTTGCCCGCACTATCCGTGGCAACTTGGATCACATTAGCTTCTCCAATTTTCTCCACAAACTTATCAAGCAAATTAAATATCTTATTTCCATCCTTTGAGTAACTAGATGCAGCAAATGGATTCAATAAACATGGTGACTCTCGGACAATTCACTAAGAAATTAAGCAAAGTCCTATTTCTCTGATCTGTCCAACCATCGCACATTATAGAACATCCATACTTTACCCAATCGTCTCTATGTTCCTTCATCAATTTGTTGACGTGATTCACTTCTTTTTTGAGGTAAGGAACTCGTATCATGTGGAAAGTTGGTGGGTTTCAAACCAGGGCCAAATTGCCCGATAGCTTCCATCATTGGCCCAAAGCTGTCATAATTCACTGCATTGAAAGGAATCCCAATGTCATACATCCATCTTGCAATTCTAACATACACCCGTTGCATTAACTCTTTCCTATAGGGTACATTTTCATCAATTTTATTTTGCTTCCCTTTGCCTTTTTGTTTTTGCACCACCACATCTGGATTAAGTGTGAAGAAACAATCCATAGGCCCTATCTTTCTAGGCTTTTTAAGTTTGGATTGAACAGAACCAGACTTGGTTCTTTGAGTAGAACCTTGAGTAGGAATGGGCTTTTTACCATGCTGAGGGAGTTCTACAAGATCATCCTCATCCTCAAAATCTTCTTCATCAACCATATCATCAAAATCGCGTATCAAGTTGATTTGCTCCTTAACTTGCTTTTTTTTTAGCCATAAACTCAAAAATCTCATCTCTAACCTCAGTTGGGCATCTAACACATTTAGTCACATTCCTATACCCTCCAACAAGATGTTGCTTAACTCGACAGATATCCCCATTCATCTCTTTTCCACAAAAATTGCATTTGAACTTAATTAGGTTTCCGGGATTTATCATCGTTGAATACTTCCATGTTGGATCGTTCTTTCCACTTTCAGCACTCGGCATTTGACTCGTCAAGTTACAAAGGATTGAGAACCAAAGAAGAACAAGCAATTGAAAATATCAAATATGCAATTATTGGTTTATGGTTGTTTTTTTTTTTACTGGACAAGGAAAGGCAAGAAAAAGACAGAGACTAGAGAAGAGAAGAATAAAAAAATGAAGAAGAAAGAATAAAAAAAAATTGAATAAGAAACCATCGAAGAGAAGAGAAGACAGACGAAAGAAGAGGAGGAGAAAAAATGAAAAACAGAGAAGAAGAAGAAGAAACGAAAAACAGAGAGAGAAGAGATGAGAGAAGAAGAAACGAAAAACAGAGACGGAGATGACGAAGAAGAAGAAGAAGAGAAGAGAGAAGAAGAAACGAAAGAGACGAACCTGAAGACAACGTCGATGTCGAAGCTCACATCGATGCTGAAGCTCAAATTTTGATTGCAATAGATTTAGGGCTTCGTCTCACAAACAGATTTGTATTTTATAAGAGTTTTAATCTTACGTGGCTAGTACACAAACACAAAACAGGTCAGTCCGAGCCGAAGCGCACGAAGCGTGCGCTTTGAGCCTAGGCGAAAGGCGCACACCTCAGCGCCTTACGTGCGTTTCTCGCAATGCGCCTCGCTTCGTCTACTTCAAGTGCCAACACTGCGCCTCGCCTCGCTTCGTTTAGCACCTAGGCTCGCTTTTTAAAAAAACTGTTCCAACCACTACAGCCACTATTGACATGCTACTACCACTACAACTATCCTGCCACCACAAAACCACCGTTGTAGTCATGCCACCACAATCACTTAATTACCATTGCCATGATGACCCTACAACTATCACTACCACAACCACTGTCAACAACACACTGCCAACACCGCTGCCACTTCACCAACATACCACCATCATAACATAAAATTTGGGAGGAAAAAAATTTATAAATTTTAAATTTCAACTTGTATGTGTCAAACAACTTGATTAAATTTAATGCTTAAATTTCAGTACATAGCGAGCATGATTTTAGAATAAAAAATTCAACATTCACGTTTCGGTACTTGATTTTCAGTTTTCAGTTTATCAAACAATACCTAATTTTGCGTTTGAAAAACACATTGTTTTTGGTCTTTTGTCTTCAAGATCATTTGTACCTCGTGTGTGTATTTACATATGGTTGATCACATGAAAATGATGGTCTAAAAATTAGACTACTAATCAAGGTATTGTCTCGACTATTAGGGCCAGTTACATGAATTTTTCTTTGCCATTCCACTTGAGCAATGGCTGTAAACTACATGCCAACATATATTTTCTTATTATCTCAAGCCCTGTTAAGCTCAATTGTCTGTTCCCTAGTATTACTGTCGGTGTGGATGCGGACTGGGTGACTCTTCCTATATGTGCTATTATTGGTCTCCATTGTATGACCAGACGATGTTAATCGATTTTCCTCAGTTGTGTTAAAGTTAAAACACCCAAAATAAAACATTGCTCAGAACAAGTATATCAAAATGTTATTCTTGCAAAATTAAATAAAAGTAGATTGGAAACTACTTTTTTTTTGCCTACAGAAATCTAGTTCCATTTTGGATATCATTGTAGGCAGCATCTCCATTACATGAGAAAATCAACTTCACGAGCTACCATGCTGCAGAGGATAACAGAACTGAGATTGGATGATAGTTATATTCCAACATGAAGTATTAGTAATTAAAATCTTAACTGTCAAACTCAAGCAGTTTGAAATGGACGCATCTGGTCAATTGAACTTGCGTCACATATCTTGCAAGTGTCGGGACATTTTACGTGGCACAGATCTTGTCACAATTTATTTGAGACTCTAGAATGCACTATATGATGTTGCATGTTTCATGCTCCATTTTCATTCATTTGGGATGGTCGAATTTGTTCTAATTTGTCACTATACACCTGTGTTACCAAAAAATGTTAATACCCTAGTGAATTATGTATTGTTATGCACATTCCGAAACATGATACACTTCCATTCCAAAACGGTAAATTAAGTGATCCAAAGCGATTGCAAAAGTTTTTTTTAAAATATATTTCCTTAAATGTTACCTTAGGAGAAAAAAAATAAAATATAACAAACTAAAATCTAAGGTGAATTAAGTTTTGACAATACAAAAAATAAAAAATGGGTCATAATGCTAAAAAATGTTTTACTACATGGAAAAAAGAAGAAAAACCTACATTTTATTGGATGCCTAATTGTTAAAAAAAAAAATTAGAGCATGTGGCGTACCACATTTCCATTTCTGTTCCACATACTTGAATGATCTAGTTCCAAGTAACATAGCTATGCACTGACTTTGGGAACTTGCTTTCTATTGCTATTGCGATTCTGCTCTCATTCAGCCAATTTCTTCCAGTCTTACTCATTTAGGGGGTGAGGCTTGTGTCATGCGACAGATGCAAGCTGGATTTTGAAGCAAAAAGATCCCTTTGAAATCTTTATTCTTATTCTTATTCTTATTATTATTATTATTAATGTGCGATCACTCAGTACCTGTCCTCGACCCACCCAGAAATGCAGAGTCCTGATTAAAAATCTTTCTAATACCTGATCCCTTTGTCTTTAGTTGTTTTTACTATAGTGTATCTGACTTCCTATTAACTGTATCTGTTGAGTGGATCGTAAAGCAACATTGTTTCTAGAATGTAGTGGGACAGCAAAGCCTGGTAAATTAATGTGTCAGGCTTTTAGACTTGCAATCATGGGTAGGATTTTCCAAATTCATTGCTTTGTAGTTTTGATATGGATTATGAAAAAGACTTGGTTTTTGGCGCTTCACATTATGGTCATCATCTACCAATGCTATTTCTGTACAGATCTTCTTTATGCCCTGGGGCCCTTGATTTTTATGACCCTCAAGGCTTTTATGCCAAAGAAAATCTTGTCTTATGGTTCGCATTATGTTTTATTATCATATGGGAAGGGGCAGGTTTGTATTTGACATGTCATGAGCATCTCATGAAAGCTTATTTTTATCTTGCATGTCATTAGCCCACTTGTCTTGACACACACCATTCAAATCACAAATTTCTAGAGATTGGAAAGTGGTTTGTGATGTATGGATGTTGTCTTTTAGTTTTGGTTCTTTTGGTGTTATGGTTGTTTTCACTAAAGAGGACGTCTTGTCCTCTTTTTGTTTTCCCTTTACCTTTTACTAATAAAATCTATGTTTGTTGCTGATTAAAAAAAAAAAAAAAAAAAATCACATTATTTACTTTGTCTAATACTTATATTGGAATTATACTCATGTTTTTAACTAACAGGTGAATCTAGTGCCCCAGCTGGTGCAGATCGTATAGCAATGATGGAGTTTTATATGAAGAAGGCTGCACAGGAGGAGAAGAGGAAACAACCTAAACAGTCAAAAGATGAAATGCCTCCACCTGCTTCCCTTCAAGGTTCATATCTTTATCTTGATTGGAGTCAGATGCATCCTTGTTTCTGGAAAGCATGTTTGTGTTTGTGCCTAACTACTCTGCTGATTGCTTCTCTGAAAGATTCTACTCAATGTTTATGTTGTCTGTAATTTATGCATCACATTTTCTCGCTTTTTTGGTATTATAGCTGCTCCGTCGAAAAAAGGTCATCACATGGGTGATTATATCCCACAAGAAGAGCTCGAGAAGTTCTTGGCTACCTGTAATGATGCAGCTGCTCGGAAAGCTGCCAGAGAGTCTGCAGAAAGGGCAAAAATCCAGTCTGACAATGTTGGTCACAAACTTCTGTCTAAAATGGGCTGGAAAGAAGGTGCTCTGCCCCACTCTCTCTCATCATATATGACTTCAATAAAACATAAGTTGATTTTTCTCTGCATTTTGTTTGCAATATGTTTTGAATGTTATGCAAACAATTTCCTATTCATATTTCTATTACAATTCTTAGTATAATTGCCGACAAAATTGTTCTGTGTACAGTGTTCTTGCTCTAAATTTTTGAGACTTGAAATCTCACATACTTCTAGAAGGGAATCATACATGTTTTGGATACTTGTACTCCGTATCCGATGCTTCTTAAAAGTAATTTAAAATAAAGTTTTGAATGCCAACTTGCCAAGTTGTATCCAATATTTCCAATGCTTCTTGAGTGTTTAGGGACACAAAGCCAGCTTAAATGGGCTGCTTACGGATTTTTTAAATTATTTTTTGCAATTCTATGCTAGACTGTTTGCTATAGTTTCCGCGGTAAAATTAACTTAAATAAGTTGCAAAAAGCCGATTATCCTGGATAGGGCTACAAATAAACAAAGCCGTTCGTGAATAAGTTCGAGTTCGGTTTGGTAAGGGCTCATTTGAACTCGGTTCGTCAAATTTTTATTGTGTTCAAGTTCGAGTTCGAGTTCAAGTTTGTTAAAATCTTAATAAACAAGCCCAAACATATTGACGATCGGCTTGTTAGCTCGGCATGCTAGCTGTTCGTTTAATATTTATTTAAATAATGTAAAAATATGTATAGAAAATAGGATAATATGTTATTTATATATTTAAATAATGTAAATAATAGGCAACTATAGATAATACATGTATATAGTGATGGTAGATATTATTATTTTGGTAAGATATTGACTTTTTTTTAGAATGTTTTATATATTGTATATATAATTGTATAATTAAAGTTTCAATTGTAACTTTAGTCTCATACGCAAGTATGAATTTATAATTTCTTTGGCTCGTTAAGGCTCGTGAACATACTTGAGTTTGAGTCAAGCCTAAGCCAACTCGGCTCGAGGTTGGTTCATTAAATTTTTATTGAGCTCAAGTTTGAGCTCAAATTCAAACTTGTTAAAATCTTAATAAATAAGCCCAAATATACTAAAGCTTGGTTTGGCTCGGCTCGGCTCGGCTCGGCATGTTTGCAGTCCTAATCCTGAAGCTGGGCAGGGGTGCTTACAATTTCTTGAACATTGGTATGCAATATCCTTATTACTGTGACAGTGTTAGGAATTAACCCTTCTTAACTAAGATCGGTGAGACACGGAATAACAAACAAGGAAGAAAAAGCGAATCAAACAAATCACACAAACAAGAATACAAGGATTTACATGGTTCACCTTAGAATAGGGTTACGTTCACGGCTGTTGCGGTTTTCACTATGATAAGAAAAATACAACTCTCTCTTAACCTAAAAGAAGTGCTCCCTCATCTATTTATAAGTATAAAATTAGGGTTACACGAAGCAATATGGGAATTATAAAAGTATCCAAAAAAATTTCGTACTTATTGGACCCCCATCTCCCTTGGGGGGAGGCCTCCCCAAACCCTCCATCGGACGCAGTGTTTGAGTGAACAGTAAGATTGAGTGAATAGCACTTATCAGAGTCTACCGACCCAACAGATAATAGGATTATTGTTAAAAACATAGCTACAGTTCTTTAAACTTGGACAATATGCATCTCCTAAAGAACTATTTAAGCTAAATCATGTTGATTTTGGATGAAATTATATCAATGCAGTAGAGTTCTCAATAGTATGCCTAATATGGGTTTGTATACTACCCTTCCTAATTGAGCCTTTCTTTCCCCCCCGAAATTATAGCTTCATATTTTAATTGATTTACATTGCCCTAGATACTCCGTTGATAGAGTTAAATAGAGAAGAATGATTTATGTAGCTGACCCCATTTGATGGGACTTAAGGCTTGGTTTGGTTGGTTGGTACATTACCCTGAATACTGATGGAGTTTGTCATGAGAAGCTTGATAAAGTCCTTTGCTTTGGTCTGGGCCGCAGGTGAGGGTTTGGGGAGCTCGAAAAGTGGTATTGCAGATCCAATTATGGCGGGTAATGTGAAACTCAACAACTTGGGGGTTGGCGCTCACCAGCCCGGAGAGGTGACTCCTGAGGATGATATATATGAGCAGTATAAGAAGCGCATGATGCTTGGTTATCGATACAGACCAAACCCACTGGTACAACTTTATTTTTTCGTTTTTATTTTTTATGGTGATTGCTAAATTGACTGATCATGGAACCTTTCTTTTTTAATTGGATATATCACTACATATGCTTGACTTACCAAAATATGAAGTGATGTGTTTGGTTCAGATCAATTGTAACTGATTCGATGAATCAAATTCTGAATATTGATCTTATTGATTTCTCCTTACAGAACAATCCTCGGAAATCATACTACTGAGGAACTTTCTAATGCAACAAGCCGCCTGCTGGTTGGGTTGGGGGTGCCTTGAAGAAATAATTTCTTTTTTATTTGTTTGTGGGTCAGTTGAATTTCTTATTTCATTGGATTCGATGGAGAACTGATTTTACTGTGTCATAACAAAATCTACTTGAATGATCTTTTATGAGTTTCAATTGTTATTGCCAAACTATTGTCCGTTTAATTTTTGCTATGTTGGTGTCAGTAACAATAGTTTAATACTTTCATATCTATTTGCTTAGCACGTTTAGGAGTGGGGTCCCCAAGCCGGAAATGTACTCCATCATGTCAATTTTTACTTTGAGATTTTAAATATACCAAAAATGCCAGCTAAACGAGACAAAACTACTGGGGGGCTTGGCTTAGCTTAGTTTGAAAGAATAACTGACTTTCAAAATGTGTGACAGTTTAGTTTGCTATTTTGTTTTGAGCGAGTTTCAATCAAGTTTGAGTTTGATTTTCTATGTAGAGTTAAAGAGTGCATATAAGTTTCTTGAACCAAGTGTATATTGTTTTAAAATGTGTTCAAGTTGAAATTAACGTTCCGTTTTGGAAATAGGTTATTTTAGTTGTTTTTTTTGGACTTTTTAATTTTTTTAGCTTAATTAAAAAAGTTATATTTGGGATGGTAGGTTTTTGTTCTTCTTTTTAAAAAATATATATATATATATATATATTTTTATAATTAACTTGATAATTGTGAGAGAAAAAGTAAAATGATTATGAATTAGATGTGATATTTTATTTTATTGACATGTTGCCGGGAAATTATTATAACATTATGTGGTTGCAATTATTTCTATATGACACCAGCTTCATCCATGTATTCCATCAACATCTCACAAATTAAAAGTTGACACTTATTATTTTACATCATTATGGGTGAAATTGTGGGGGGTTTTATTAGGGTTTCAAACATTTTTTAGTTTTTAATAATGTCAGAAATATATTTTGATTAGCAATTTGGGTAATTTTATTATTGTGTATGAGAATAGTTAGAATTTTTTTCTGTTAATTTTGTTAAATACAAAATTCTGACAAAGGGGGGCATTTGTAATTTTTAAAATTATAGAAGACAATTTGTATTTTAAACAAATTTAAAAGAGTTTATTTATAATTTATCTTATATAATACTTCATTCGTCTCAAAATATTTGTCCTTTTTGGAAACTGTCTCAAAATATTTGTCCCTTTTGAAAACTATTTTTGATAGTATATAATTATTATATTTGAAAAATATTAACTTTCTAAAATTATCCTTTAGTAGTACAATTATTATACTTCTAAAATATTAATGTTAATGAATTAAATAGAATGAAAAAATAAAAAATTTATGTTATTCTAATTTTTTATTTTTGAAAAAAAATTAATATTTTAAAACAGAGAAAGTAATAACAGAATTTGGATTGATTTGAGTTGTGAAAATTTATGCACAGATGACAAATTTTGGCTGAGACTTTGATCAAATTTAAAATTTTACAGTTTTAAAGTGATAAAAATTTTGGGGTTGCACTCAAGTTTTACGTATCGGGTATGGCTGCAAGCAATCATAAAAATCAGGGGGGTTCATTTATACAGCGCCAATCATGGACATCCACCCAGCTAGTTAAATGTTAAATAAAAATTTATTTTTCTATTTTAATTAATTATTTTTTCAAATATATTCTCCAAAAATTCTCTATTTTTTACTTTATTCTATTTTTATTTTATTATTTTCTAATTTAATATTTAATATTTAAAAGAGAATTAAAATAATAAATGATCACATTTGTTTAGAGTAGTGATATATAAATAAAATAATAAATTACATTCATATCTCTTAAAATTTAAAGAAATTTAAGGTTTTAATTTACATAACACTTAATCAATTTTTTTCCATAATTTGTTAGTTTTATGATAAAAAAGTAATTGTAGTCATCTTTTTTACATTAAAATATATATTTTATTTTATTTATCTTTAAGTCTCGAAACTACCTATATTGGTTCAGATCCGTTTAAGCTTACTAATAAAGAGATTGATTTAATTATCTCAAAACATATGATTTGTTGTATCCATTCATCTCAATTTGTGCTCTGTTCATCTCAATTTAAAATACAAAATGATATGACACTTTATACTCCGTTCATTTCAATTTAAAATATCTATTATTCTAACTTACATTTTAAAAAATAACACAATTATATCATTTTGATTCAGGTTTTTTTATACAAATTTTGTTTGTAAATAAATTTTCTTAATTTATCAAATGGTGTGTCGGTTTTTTTATTTTTATTTTTTTATTAAAATTATGTACTCCCTCCGTCCCAAAATAATGGTCCCTTTTGGGGAATCCAACTTTTTTTGGTAGTACAATTATTGTACTTTTAAAAAGTTGGTTTTCCAAAATTACCCTTTGATAGTACACTTTTTTGAGAATATCAATGTCATAATTGTACTTTTTATATTATTTATGAATTTAAAAGAAGGGCAAAATAGGAAATTTATATTATTTTTGTACTTGATTTTTGAAGAGGGACTAATATTTTGGGATAATAAAAAATAGAATAAGGGACTAATATTATGGGACGGAGGGAGTATATTATAGCTATGGCTCGGACAATTCCGAAAGGTTCTCTCTCTCTCTCTGGTTGATGATAGCAACTAATGAGAGAGTCACCTTAATTTTTTTGGGATTTGGGTATATATGAATTAGCATATCACTCGTGTTATGCACGGGTTGTGTTTCACCACTTTGTCTTTTTTTTTTATACTATATTAAAATTTAATATTTTGATACTAATCATATGTGTTGGACTTTTCAAAAAATTCATATGTGATGGACTTTTCAAGGAATTGTTTTCATGCTTGTTCTTAATGTATTAAAATGTTATTATGAGAGATAATAATCCTGTGTTGGATTTTTCAAGGAATTCATATGTACTTCACAATTATTTCTATATATGTGAATTGTGATTTTTAAATATCTTTTTTTTATATTATATTAAAGTGTAATATTTTGATAATAATCATATGTGTTGGACTTTCAAGAAATTCATATGTGTTGAACTTTTTAAGGAATTTTTTTTTTATGATTGTTGTTAATGTATTAAAGTGTTATTATGAGGGATAATAATCGTATGCGTTGGGACTTTTTAAGGAATTCATATGTGTTGGACTTTTCAAAGAATTTTTTTTATACTTGGGGGTTATGAGAAGTTAATAAATGCTAAGGTTTTTTTTTTTAAATAAAAAATTAAAAAATTTAGATTGGGATATTGGAGCTCCAACAAGACTTGAGGGGTTAGAAACCCCACTTTTCTTAATATATACTAGCATATCACCCGTGCTATGCACGGATTGTGTTTACAATTATCTATATATGTGAATTGTGATTTTAAAATTTATTTATTTATTTTTAAATGTCTTCTTTTTTTCCTTTTTATATTATATTAAAGTTAAATATTTTGATAATAATCATATGTGTTGGACTTTTCAAGGAATTAAATGTCTTTTTTTTTAATTATATTATATTAAAGTTTAATATTTTGATAATAATTATATGTGTTGAACTTTTCAATTTTTTTTTTATACTTGTTCTTAATACATTAAAGTGTTATTATGAGAGATAATAATCATATGTGTTGGGACTTTTCAAAGAATTTATATGTGTTGGATTTCAAAAAAAAAAATTTATGCTTGTTCTTAATGCATTAAAGTGTTATTACGAGGGTAAGACTTGGGAGTTCGGAGAAATTAATAAATGTTAATATTTTTTTTAAAATAAAAAAATCAAGAAATTTAGATTGAGAGATTGGAGCTCCCACAAAGTTTAGGGTTAAAAACCCATTTTTGCTTAATATATAGTACTAGCATATCACCCGACTATGCATAGATTGTATTTACAATTATCTATATATGTGAATTGTGAATTGTGATTTTTATTTTTATTTTTTTAAATCTCTTCTCTTTTTTTTTTCCTTTTTTATATTATATTAAACTTTAATATTTTGATAATAATCATATGTGTTGGACTTTTCAATGAATTAAATGTCTTTTTTTTATTATATTATATTAAAGTTTATTATTTTGATAATAATCATATGTATTGAACTTTTCAAGAATTTTTTTTTATGCTTGTTCTTAATGCATTAAAGTGTTATGATGAGGGATAATAATCGTATGTGTTGGGACTTTTTAAGGAATTCATATGTGTTGGACTTTTCAAAGAATTTTTTTTATAATTGAGGGTTGGGAGAAGTTAATAAATGCTAAGGTTTTTTTTTTTAAAATAAAAAATCAGAAAATTTAGATTGGGATATTGGAGCTCCAACAAGACTTGGGGGGTTAGAAACCTCATTTTTCTTAATATATACTAGCATATCACCTGTGTTATGCACGGATTGTGTTTACAATTATCTATGAGAGGGAGATTTATGATCTAGTTTCGACCAAACAAGATTTGGCCGAGGTATTTGGCTTCAAGATTGTGCCGTGGTTTTGCTCAATAATGGCAAAGGGCCTGCGGAGCCGAGCTACTTAGGCTCTTTGGTATGAAGGCCGGTCAAGTGAGAGCTCGGCTGAGACGTCCGCTGCCTAGAAGGGCTTCATGGTTCGTGCGTTGCTCGGTCGGAAGGCGCGCACCCATAGCTCGGCATGAAGATTCATGCCTGAAGCTCGGCAGGAAGGCCTTTGGTTGACCGGAATGACCAATCCCGTGCTCGGCGTCGTTGGAATGTGGTCGAGCACGGCTGAAACGAAGCTCGGTTATTGGAAGCACTTGGTCTTGAAGTGCAGTATGGCTGTTGGCAGCCGAGAAGCTGCAGCCCGGCTGCCGAGCTCCCAGTAGAGTGGGCTGGCAGTTGGGTTAGGTGGTGTTCAGCGAGATTTGTGCTGACAGATGGGATAGCGGAGCCACGCGTCAGGAGTTGACTGGGAGTGGATATGGGGCGCAGAGGGTATATAAGCAGGTCTACGCCCCCCATACGACACACGGACATCTCTGTAAGGGATTCTTACACTCAAACACTCTCTCCCTTCTCTCTATCCATCTTAAGGTGTGTGCTAACTTGATCGTCGGAGGGTTTTTCCGGCCACACACCGCCGGGTAGCTCACCGTTACTTGCTCGCAGGTGATCGGACATCGACGGAGCTCGGAAGAAAGGAGTACGGGCTTGTCGGAATATTTGCTCCCCGTACAATTTATATATGAGAATT